ATTTGACCCATTCCGAGTAGGGGGCAGGGTTTATTTTGGAGCTCCACCTCTTATATTTCACTTACAGCAAACTACCAGATTGAGGGGCATGGCTAAGCATACTTCGCCATTATTATTATGAATAATAATGTATTTAACAATGCTTTATTTACATAAATCTCTGTAAATGGGCCGGTATGTATATATAGGGCAAGTCAGTGTTAATTAATCTGGTCTTTTCCTGTTTATTTAGCTATTTAATTTGATATAAAGTATATAAACATATCAAAAGAAGCAAGTTTATCTTTTAACATAGATATATTGTCCATTGCTAGACTGAAGGACATGTTTGCAGTATAATAAAAAGTCCAAAAGTGAAACGTGAACAGAGACAGCCTTTGTACCTTTATTTCTAAGAGTGTTTGACAGCTTAATATACAATATTATCCGTGTGGTCAGAAAGACGTGTGCTTAATGGACACATATGCGAAGCCTGTTAATATAGATGTATTCGGATATATTTATTTTTTCAAATAATAGTTTAAAATATAGACTAAAATCTGAGCAAATTTTATTTTAATAAATAATAATATATACAATAAACAGCACTATATGATGAGCACTAAATGATTTAGATTGTATATGGGGACGACACACACACACATATATATATATATATACACAGTGAAGGTCAAAATTATTCATACCCCTGCTGAATTCAGCTCCAATGTAAATAAAAGTGTTCATCATCTTCTTATCTTTTGGGAGAAGCCGGTGTCATTGCCGGCCCAAAAACAAACCTGCTCTTTGAGTAGAAGCAACTTTAAGTCATGTGGATGAATAATTTGGGGCTTGACTGTGTATATATATATCTATATAGGCGTTTATAATGCAACGTACAGTAGCAATGTACAGACCACGACACACACAAAATGAGGTATTGCCTGCAATATGAACTCTGTTAGCATTCATTGAGTTTTCCTTTGTTTCCGTCTTTCTGTGTGTGAGTGTTTGTTCAATCCTTTTCACCTCAGGAAAAAAGCATAGCATCAATGCACCAAGGGGAGATATATGCATCGCTATAAGGGCTTTATTACAATACTGAGAAAGCCATTCATTCGAACACCCTAGGTTTTAATCCATTAGGGCTTTTGACTGTGATGTATGTCAGGGAAACCAGATCACCTGCCATTATCAGTGGGATCGATTGATTGATTGATTGATTGATTGAAATCGTTCACTCATGCATGCATTGTGATCCTTTTTTACTGGGTTTGAAGAACGAAATCCATGACAAGTTGTCAGTCTGTATAAATAAAAAGAGGAAACAATCGGCTAAATTGGTGCGTGAAGTAGCCTGAAAAGTGCATGGACCTCCAGCAGCTCCCGTCACTCCCGATCCTCCGCTGCTCAGCTGCACTGGCAACCATTTTCACAGTGAAAAACCACATGAACATAGCTGTAAAACATGTAAATTGTACTATACTTCTGCACACGACGCAAGGCGTAAAACCAGCCGTTTTGTGCAAATTAAGTCTAAAAGAAAAGGAGCATCAAGACATCAGAAACCAAATAAACACATGAATATTCCAATAAATCACACTGTGTATGTGGTCGGCTCATGTTTGGAAATGTAAAGAAAATAATAGTGATATTGTATTATCCAGGCACATTTTTGGTCTATGGTCTATACTTCTTGTGATTGTCGATGCTGATCAAACTCTCTCTCTTTTTTGTTAATAATAATAATAAAAAAAGAGGATATGGCTTCCATTTTACCGTGGGTGGAGAAATTCAACTCAAAAGAGTGTGTTTTAGGAGAAAAAAAATCAAGAAAATATCCAGACGACGGTTTTGAAGGTGTCCGAAATTAAAAAATTAATGTTACATTCACTGTTGTGAGCGCATAT